ATAATAAACATTAAATCTAAATTTTTAGTGTGATTGCCATATCCATCAGCATTCAGATAGATGACATCATTCATTCGGCGATACACAGATAACTACTGGTAATGATTAACTTTTACTTGTTTTGTAGCTCCTGTTAAGTTGACGGCTAAATTTGGTACCATGAAGAGAAAGAGGCAAATACGGCAACTCGTAGAGCAGTTTGATGAGGGTTATGAGGATGATCTTTTTGATATGTTGGGGAATCAGACTTCCAAAAAACCCAAGGTATATTAATATTAATAATATTAAATACCATATCAATTCTGTGAGCAACTTACACAATTGATACTTTTTTTTAAACCAAACAATGGAATATCCACCCAGAGTTTTAATCAGAATTTTTATGGAACAATTTGTAATATCGTCTTTTACCGATGTATGTTAGACCTTTAATGATCACAAAAAGAAATTTAGTAAAGTAGAGAACCATATTTGTGGAATTAAAGGCAAAAGATTACTAAGAAAGGGAAAGTAAATTTTTTTTTAAAATTATATAGAAAGATTAATACAAGTCTTAATATGATACAAATAATAAATTAAACTCTGGCCATAATGAGGTTGAATAGAATAGATATATTAATAATGTAATATTAAACAACATTTTAATTAATTATAATTATCATTCACAGATTCCAAATGATGTTGTCACTGATGAGGATGATGATTTGAATGTAGACTGTACCAAGTTTCAAACACCTACTGTGCGTCCATTGAGCAGAATCCCGATGTCCACACAGAAAACACCGCATTTTGAGCTTATCAGTCCTGGCCTGTTCCATTCTATGGACAGGTAGTGTTCTTCATTTATTAAATTAAAGATAACTAACAAACAGTTGAAATTCAAAAACACGTTTGTAACATATGCACAGGCATTGTAGGATGAAAATAATGTTTTATCGTAAATCATGCTCATTTTGAGTCAGTACTATAGTTCTACCATTGATATATGTATTTTAAAATTATTTTGCATCTAGAGAACAGATGGATCCATACATACATCGCATGCAAACTAAAAGAGGGTGTGCTTCAAAATCATTTAAAGTGGTAAGAATAAACAGTACTCTTTGATCAGTGTAATTTTTGTTCATAAGGTTTACATTTTAACGACATTGATACCACGGCACAATTGGTCACTCAGAAAACTCATTTAAATAAGACCCTTTAATTGGTTACTTGAAAATATCTCCAATTAGAAAATATCACTTAATTCTGATTGCATGTTATTATCCTAATCCAATCCATAACTTCCGATTAAAATTAGGAATTTTATTTAAGAATGGTGTAACAATAGCCACTGCCAATGATGACCTTACAGGAAGAGCGTTGTTGTGATGAATGGTTGTTAGCTTCATGAAATCTTGTTGTGCAAATATGATTTAAAAAGATAAAAAGAGCTTTCCCTAATGGTTTTGCGAGATTATCTGGACACATTTGAAAACATTTTTAAAACTATGCCCTCATTAGCTTGCAGAATGTTTATCTGTAAACAGTTTTTATATTAATATGTTGACTACTTTATTAATATTGGGGAGATCGATCTTATTCTAATCTTATTTTGTAAATAAAATAAAGATAAGATTTATTGGTTATCTCTTTTGTAAGAGATCAACACTCATGCAAGAGAGGTTCGACCTGTACAACACTTACAACATTACAATCAAAATATATGAAATTAATTATAAAAGAACAAACTAATGATAACAAACAAAAATCTTCATTTTTTACTTAGTTTAAAAAGTATGTACTGTATAAGCAAAAGAAATATTACAAACACTCATTATTATACAATAATTAAGAAAAAACTTAAGGTAACAATAATAGAACATTTTTTCTTATAGTATTAATTTGAATAAAAGTTGAGCTTAAAAAAAAAATTCAAAATTAAATAAATACGCTAAAATAATAATAATAATAAAAAACAAACAAAACTAAAAAAAAAACCAAACAATAAACCTAAGTTTATATAAATAAAGTTAAATATGGCTGGTAATGTTTTTCATTAGTTGAGTGTTTTGATCCATTGCTTGTGTTATATATATTTTACAATGGTAGTCAAGTGTTTTACAAAGTTCAATATATTGGTAAACATAACATTTGTTAAAATGGGTGATAAAATCAACTGTGGACAGAAATAGGAAGTTAATATGTGTGTGTATGTGTGGTTATTCCTCCGTTAAATGGAGTGGAAGCTTACACCCACTCCTGGTAGCTCAGTAGAACTAGCAACATTTGGAGCAAAGAATTTAACTACTACTCTGATAAATGCATTTAATCTCACATTTCAGAACCAAGAACCCAAGAAACAGAAATCAGATAATTTGTTGGACCAAGTTCTGATTGAAAACAAAGAAAGCATCTTTAACGTCACCGATGGTGACTTGGACGAGGAGGAAGAAAAAGACTATTATTGGTCAGAGGAGGATATGCAATGATTTGCATTAAACATTATCTTTATCCTCAACACTATGAACCTAAATCATCTGTATTAAAATCAGTGTCATAATGTAATAATTTTATACCTTGTTCTATGAATGCGTCACCAACTGATAATGATGATTTTGAATAGAAAGTAATACAAATTTTTTAATAATAATAAATAATTTTATAAAGTGCCTAATGCAAAAAAAAAAATAGCCTCAAAGTGCTGAAGATGCCTGTTTTATATATATTGTTTTTGCCTATATTTATTATATTGCCTATTATCTGTTGCCAGGGGAAATGAATTTTATTAATTTTTATTGAGTCTGTTGCCGCAAGGATATCTGATAAATCTAAATTTCTGTATTTCTTCCTCACTATTTAATATTATGCAAATAATGAATGTTTATGAGTACAATGGAAAAAATATTTTCATGAGTTGAATGGAACAGTCAGTCTTTCAACTCATGAAAATATTCTTTCCATTTCATGAATAAAAAACATTCATTATTTGTTTTATACCTAAAATAGATTCTTGTCATTTGATATTTTAATTTAAAAATGTGCCTTTTTTCTGAATGGACATTTGTGTAATTTGATATTTATGAACAAGTCTGCCCTTTTTACAAATGGAACAGTCCAGTGTCTTTTTAACAAATCAAAAAATTGTAGTTGTTTGAAGTCATATCTTATCCTAGGCGACGTGAAATGGGCAAAAACGGAAGGAAAGAAAATGCATGAATGGAAAGAAATTTCCATGATGAATGAATATCCAATGTCACATGATACGAACTCTACCAATCAAATGACAGGGATCTATTTAGGTGTGTTATAAAAAGCATTCATCAGTCCATTGAAATTGCATTCTTTGTATGACCACCCGGAAGGACTTAAGTGCACCTTATTAATTTTTTTAAAAATTGCAGTCATTGCTTATTGGCCAATAACATTTTTTTTTATTCAATTAAATAGTACATAAATCACATTACATAGAATTGAAATAAACATAACCAAACAACAACAATAATCAATACACTATAGACTGACTGGTACTTGGTGTGGTACAAGGTTCATTGTAATAAACTTAATCTTTATATTTTGTGTGAACACAAAAAAACAAACTTCAGAATAACTTAAAAAATCAAAAACTTTTTCTCAGCCAGTATGAAATGACAATATGAACATTTCATTATTTCTGTTAAAACAGACTTTCATTTGTATAATAGTAATCTTCATATTTTAATTTGCATACAGATTATGTTAAATTTTTACTAACTGGTTAAATGTAAGATAAAAATACTTATCACATGGCTTATCAAGGTACAGTCTAATCCAGTTTTAGAAAGTTTATGGGATTTGCATTATGCTTGCAAGAATCTGTACTGTAAAAACATTAGAAACATGTTTTAGTATTAATATGCTTTTTAGTGGTTGCAGGTTTAGTAATGTTACTGTATCTATTGCAAAAATACATCACAATGTAAATGAAAATGCTGAGTTATTGCAAATTTGTTTGCCTGTTTGGAAGTTTAGAAAAACAGATTGTATAGCCTAGTTTCTCTAAATATGTGAATCATAGGTTTATTATCTGTATTAATGTTATAGTTATCATTTTGTTTGATATGTAGCACTGGATTTTGTTTTTGAAAAATACTTATTGTTGTTTTTGTTGGCATTCCCATCTTACCACTGTTTTAATGGAGCCCAAAGAATCATAAGATTAGCACTTCTGAAGTACAGTACCTAGTAACTAATTAATCCTTGAAGAAATTAGAAAAGACATATTTTTACAATAAGCAGGCTTGTACAAATAGTTAACATTTGTTTGTTGATATTTTTATGAAGTTTTACTAACATTTATTTTGATAAAAGAAATGGAACAATTTAAAGCTAAATAAGGCTCAGCCTACAGTATCAAATTTTCTTTGACAAAAAAAAAACTGTTGTATAGTGATGATGTGCCTGTATATGTTTATAATGTGATGTCATGATGACCATATTTAGGCATGTCACATGATCTTGTCAAATAAAATTTGATAGTTGGGACAGGTCTCAGCTTATATTGCCTTGCAACTTGACTCAACTCAACTGACCTGTGGCACATTGCGAGCAACCGAGTCGTGCGATTTGAGCGCTAGTTGCTCTCTGCGATTCAAAGCACCTGACAAACGATTAAATTGTCATGTGACATTAGTAACCCAATAACGCTAGTCTATTAATTATCTAAATCAAAATTGTATCAACATTTTGTAGCATTGCATGGCAACAAGTTGTAGATAATTTGCATTATTTCTACTAGATTGCATTTGACACGAGCAGCGGTACTGGCAACTAATTCTGGTAAGTTGAGTTAAGTTGCAGGGGCACATAAGCTTAGTCCAAGACATTTACAAAATTTGATGCCGTTTGTATTATATTTATATTTTTAGTTAAATAGGTTATAGGTTTTGGTAATGTTACCAGTTAAAATATTTGGACAAAATAAAATATGGTAACTTGTTAATTTCCGTTCTATTATTTACTTAATGCTGTGAACAGGCGATAATATATAATTATGCATATATATCTTATCTACATGCTATTTATATATTTATATACACTATGATTAAAAATAAATAAAAAATTGTAAATAAAACAAGAGATGTAATTGTACGAGAGATTATAACTAGATAAGGAAAGTAAAGATTAAACAAATACATCCAAAGAAATATAATTAACTTGATTTCAAAGTGGCAGACACAGACATTCATGACATTGTAGACAGTTGATGACTCTTCAACAACATGAAGGCAACAACACGGAAGAAGTACTGTATAAGTAAATCGTGAGGTTATCATCTTGTCTGGGAATGAAAAAATGTTTAAGAAAATATATCACAGGTTTATGTTCGTTTAGGCCAACAATATCTTCATCACAACAGTAAAAAAATTAATTAAATTGTAATTTTATTGCAAGTCTATGACGACTATCAGATAAATTGTGCTTCTGAAACATATAACCCTATCACTAAAACACCACCACCACCCTCAGCTACTAAGAGAATACCACGTCGAAAACACTGACTGCAGTGGCAGCTTTAGGGCCCCCACTTTTGGAAAGTGTAAAAAAAAAAAATTAATAAAATAAAAGGAAGAAAAAGAAAAAAATTTATTGCCCAAAATGCCTCAGAACGTTATTCTCGGGTGTCTAGAAAACAAAAATTTTGTGGGGGTATTCTCCGGACCCCCTAGGGTGGATCTTGATCAGTCACACTTTTGCGGGGCCCGACCTTTCAGACATCTCTGGATCGGCCCCTAGATGGATGGATTCAATGGTGTACAGTCCAAAATGTCGATTTGTCAGATAATGAAACAGACAGGATCATTTTTGTGCTGATGTCCAATAAGCTTTGTTTCACACTGGTATTTGTTTATGAAACACACTTCCTCTTCACATTAAAACTGCCATAAATGTTGCCATACTATTATTATTATCATTATTATTATGGAAATTAGACAATGTAGAAATTAGAAAACAATTAAAAAAACGATTTTAAGGGGAAAATAACATGACATTCAGGAGAAAATAACACAACACACAGGTCTCCCTCCAATTAAAGACCACTTTTGGGACCAGGGCTTTCATGGTCTTTAGAATAATAAAGATAAAAGAAATTTGTTAATTTGGGACCACAGGAAAGTGGTCTTTAATTAGAGGTGGTCCTTAATTGGAGGGGTCTTTCATTGGAGGGAGACCTGTAATTATTATTAGTATTGAAGAAAATAGCGCCACAGAACATCACTTTATGTGATGGAAATTGGCAATATACAAGTTATTATTTCGATTGATCGGTTTCTACACTCCAGCAATTTGAATGAAAATGTATTGATTAGGCCTACCATTAGGAAGTTGTTTAGACATCACAAAATTCAGTGTTGGAGATTTCATGGGGCTAGGGGCATCCCCCTACCAAAATATGAGTTGGTCATTTCAGTGGTTCAATTCACACAAACATTTTTAATGTTTGTGTGAGATGTTTTTTTTTTTGTTTCAAATGTTTGATGAGCTGGTAAAAAAGATAAAATTATTATGGACAGGACTACAACCTAAGTGTAAATTGGTAGGTATTTTTTCCATGTTTTATATTTTAGTTATTCTGAGTTGGAAATCCTGTTTACACCATGACACCACATGGAATAGGACTAGGGCTTGGATGCAACAAGCAATAAGGTTGCTCTCTACTGGAACTGGGTAGCAAGGTGTCTATCCCCCTAAAAAACACAACACTCGGCACTTAGGCATACACCAAAGGTCTATAAAACCAGGCTACTGAAGAAAATGAGCAGCAGGAAAGCACAAGCTACAATTTAGACTGAAGTTAAAAATGCACCAATCATAAATAATCTTCTAAAGTGTATCATTTTATTGTCAGTATCAAACAATCCATGCTTATGCAAAACAATCAGATTAAAAAAATAAACAAATAAAAAAAACTAATCAAATATAATAAACCTGCCAATATAATTATTATAATAATATAATAATCACAGATACATTAATACAATAACACAATGTATACAATCTCACATGAAATAGTAATGCTCAAGGGATCTGATATTAGTCTCATATATTAACATGAAACATAGGCAATAGAACTGATATTAGTCTCGCACATTCTTATGCGAGACAGGGATTCTTTGAGTGAATTTCCAAATAAGTACATCTGTTTATTAAAAATATTAGCATTTGTTATGTAATCCAAATTGTTTGCGATTTCTCCTTGAAGGTGTAACAAGCAATAATTCTTGGAATGACGCTTTAGAAATAGACCGATTCATGGAGGTACATTACTAGCTCCAAGAGTGAGTCATTTTCAGTGGTAAATGACCATTTTCTGAGCATTACAATAGAACATTCAGTGGCGCTATTTGCCTGCTACCTGTCTTTTGCACATTGGGATAAGAACATTTGGCAAGTTGAAATTATGTTGTCACCATAATTATATTCTTTTCATTAACAATTGGGACTTCTTAGTTATTTAACATACAATTGTAATACCAAAACAATATGGAACTATTAATAGATCCTTGTTATACCCAAGACAGAAATCTAACAGATTTTCAGCTCATCACAGAATATGGTATATCAACAAGACAATGGCTTGTGGTTAATCACATTTAACTTTATGCGCATTCTGATGAAATAGTTAGTTACAATATTGTAACTTGTCTGAGTTTTTCATTTTTTATCTCTAGCACAACTGTTCCTTTGTTGCGCAATATAAATGCAATAAAATTAGCATGTTAATAATACTACCAGAGGTAGATCCGGAATTCTTCAAATGAGGTGAAGGGGCACAACAGTTTCAGAATAGATAAGTGAGTATCACAAAACATTGATATGCATTGAAATTTTTAACATTTTGTGGCAAAACGGGGGGGGGGGGATGTCACCCCAGCACCCCTACTAATATGAAATGAGAAGATTTGTTCTATGTAACAACATCAAGCTAAAAAATATTTTAGTACAAAGATTACTGTACACCACTAAAAGTTTCCACACTGACCAGGATATAAACCCAATCCCATAATCAGGGGAACATTTGGGGGCGGGGGTGGAGGGTGCTGAGCCCCACCTTTTAGGAAGTTAAAAAAAAAAAATAAAAGAAATTATTGATCACCCAAAACGCCTCGGAGTTTATTCCTTGGCGTCTAGAAAACAACAATTACATAGGGTAATGTATATCTGAAAAATAGCAGGTTAGCTTCTGGGCTTATAAATAAGAGGATCATGACAATTTCTTAGTATTGATGAGGCTTAAACTCAATGGATGGGCTTAAACCTGAGTCAGTAGGATATGCACAGTTCAATGATGTAAACACAAATTAATGTACTATAATTAACAACAATTTCACATAAAATTCTCAAACTAAATTGCTTTCCAGAAGCAAACACAAAAAGAATTAACTCAAGAATACTTTGAAAGCATAAAAAGGAAATCCTAAAAACAAATAGTGATTCTTGCGCAACAAAAACAAAGTTGTAAAAGAAGCCACCATCCAGAAACATTTTTAAAAATTATTATTATTAACATTTACGTTTTATATTATGCAATAGAAAGTAGGTATGACTGGAAATATTCAACTACCATGAATTACATTATCAAATTTATCCATATAATTATAAGTAAACATTCATGAACAAAGAATAGTTTCACATCTTAGCCAATCCCATATGCTCATGTAAATACTGAAAGCGAGCCCGCATTAATACTGTTATATATTGTGATTACATTAGACACGACCTCTGACCTTTAAAATGCTTGCCTATCACATGATCATGTGGGATAGCAAATTTATTCTAATTAAACATAAATTGAGGGTTCCTGCCCTCCATAGCAGATATATATAATAATTTTGATAATGAAAATATCTTGGCTCAAGAAAGAATTACTTATATGCTTACAAGAATTCCGAAGAGTTAATACTATAGTATTGTACATGATATCAATTGCAACATTACAATATTATGCTTTAACAACAATGGCAGATTTATAGAAAATATGGATGCTCACCCCCTCACTTATAGCAGGTTTTTTCTAAAACTATGGCCATGCCCCCTAATGCCCCTAGATTTACACTCTTGCTTTAAAAATCGATATGCAGTAGGACGGCAGCTAATAATGTCCAAGTTTTAAATGTCCAATATCTTATTTATATTTTATTGTAATCCTACAGGTGTCAAATGTCAACCATCTTGATTGCTCATGTGTAAAACACTAATTCATAGATCTAGTTCTCTGATAAAACATGTAAATAATACACCAGTAATAAAAACTTAAATTTACTAGTTTGTTTTGAAAGTTTGACCATCCCATCTAGAGAGGGCAGTAGATACAGCCCAAACATCAATGAAACTGTAGTCTTCTGAAAAATTAATATTTCTTAAGCTTAGGGTTGAATTGCGCAATGACTAATAACCACAAACTGTTGTGTAAACGAGAGGTATTTTACCAAGTTTTACTGGCTATACATCTGCCTAATATTTTTCCAGGACTGGCTGGTGCACAAAGCATTAAAAAGAATACAGTCATTGCCAGGCGTCATAAAAATATTTTACCAGGACTGGTTAGTGCACACATGGGCGTCGACTGGTGGGGGTCAGGGGGACTTCGTATTAATTGTCTTCCCCACACCCACTAATAACCATTCTTCTATTGTTAAAACCCTGCTTTTTAATGGGGTGGAAAGAAGAGCAACAATTATGAATGACTCAAATAATCTCATTTAAAAACATATAACATGAGATAATCAATAGGTAATAAGTAAGATAAATCAATATTTTTATGAATGTTATTCTGCACAAAGTATTTAAGTGGGCCACTGTGTCAAGATTAAGAGATAAACTGATACACTTTTTATGTTTAATATTCTGAAAACCTAGTGTGGAAATAAATGTTAATTGTTAATGTTACCCCTAAAGCCAATTAAATGTGATAAAAGGCTAGAGCGATGGATGGAGCTTCTGGGGCTTTTCCTCTGGACTCCATCAGGGGCCCTAGCCAAAGCTTGAGGGCTGTAGCACAAGGGTTTCTTCTTTCCCATTTATCCCCCACCCCAATCTCCAATACCCACAATACACAGATCGACGCCCTTGGGTGCACAGAACCTGATTGAGAATTATTGGTGTCTAATACGCAATTTCTGAAAACCACCAGTCTATGAAATTGAACTAAAACTTTTAGCAGTGCCATCCTTATACCACAAATTATTATTTTATATAACATATCCATGTAATAGTTTCATATATTAAAGTCCACGTTCATAATTTGTTATAGTTCTAAATTGAGATTGAAATTTAAGACCTTCCATTGTGACCCAACAGTGACATCAAGTTAATTTCAACACAGCAAAATACAACCAAGTTTCAACCATTTCCATGCTACTTGGCATGGTATTGTCGAAAAGAATTGGAACCAAGCTAACCAAAGTACTACTACCACTAGTACTTATACTACTTACTACCAGGGGCGGATTTGTGGAAGGAAAGGAAAAATTGATCACCCGAAACACCTCAGAGGGTATTTTTGGGCATCTAGAAAACAAGAATTTCGTGGGGAATTCCCCCGCTCAACCAATTTTGGCACTCCCCCCCCCCCCTTTTCCACATCTCTGAATCCGCCCCTAACTACTACTGTATTTTCTAGGTCCTAGTTATGCATTCCAATTCTGTAGTAACACAATAAAGAGTACTGGCAAGTGAAAACAGAAAACATGAATAGATAATATCAAACTTGTTATTATTTATATTCAGAATATAAGGAATAATGCAAGAACATAGTACACCAAAGTAAATAAGCATTGTTGGGGTTGGAGAGGGGCCAGACATTACGATGAATATGTAAACAAATCAAAGGGTATAACTGTATTATGAGAAGTACTTTGTGAAGTAAGGTGTATATTATTTACAATGTAATCATAATTAAGTATGCTGACAAAACAGCAGGAAACATACCACATTTTTTTTGTATGTGGACAAAAATAATAATCATAAATGTGCAACAAATTAATGTTTATTTAGTAAATTGGGAGATAAATCTGTAGTAATTACCTGTAATAATACAGTATTTAACATTCAAAATATTTTGAAAGCAATGCAATAAAACCATTTTTTATATTAAAATCACTTTTCAAAAAAGTATGAGAGTTGGCAGCGATATTACCCATGGTCACTATTTCCATAATTTGGTAACCATGCAAATCTCCACTGCTCCCTGGGAGCTCAAGTATTTAATGCCACATCAACCCTACTAAATACGCTTCTATACTTCTTGGTTGGGAATAAGTGTAGGCATGCTCTGCTCAATAACACAAGTGGAATCATGCACAAAGCATAACCTACCACACACATTCTTAGAGGCAAACCACCTCTCCAAAAAACATAATACCATATATAAACAATATAGTATGATTCCTGATATCATTATACGTTCTTAATACAAATATGAAGCTTTTGAGAGGGTACATCTGAAAGGGAAATTAAGTTTCCTATGGTCACTTAAGTTACCATTAATAAAACCTGCATTAAAATAATTATAATAAACTAGCATATCAAGTAGAAAGTACTTTTCCACATCAAAAATCTTTCAATTTGTATTATTTCAACATTACACAATAAAAGAAACACTTTTTACAACATTTACCATTTATAATATATTTATCACATACAATCCAATTACCAAGTTAAATATACAACCAATATGAGTAATAAGTTTACTATTTATGCTAGCTATAAATTTAATAATCATCTTCAAAAACACAATCATCACACATATCGGTTTCAATCGTTTCTACTTTAGTATTTATCACTAATATTTATTTATTTTTTTTGTAAAAACAAGAATCTCACAGTCATTATTTAAATTGTATTATTCCAAAATTGTTCAAATGAATGAATAAAAAACAACCAAAGAAATGTGACAAATTATTACAAAACTTGTAGCATTTTCGTAAAATGCAATAAACATTTGTCATGTTAATATTGGTTGGGACTTTTTAGGTTTATCACATTCATATAGAATATTATTATTTTTAAAGGTTGAAATAAAATATGTATAATTATTATGATTACTCTGCTGGTAAAGCAAGTCTAAATTTTAATGAAGAGTTAATGAATAACTTGGAGATATTGACAAATGCAAACTTTGAATACCTAGGCTTCCACAAACTTAACTGGGAGAGAAATATGATAAATAAGTGGTGGAAAGGCGGGAATGCAGATAGAAAGAACAAAGAATAAAATATGATAGAAGAGCAATGACATGGGAAATAGTTATAAAAATGAAGAAGGGATTGTGATAGAAGTGCAAAGGTGGGAATTATGACAAAGAGAAAAATTATATAGTAATACAAAAAGCAATGGAGTGACAAGAAGCAATAGGTAATGGGGGACCAATGCAATATCAATTATAAAGAATGTTTATATTAGATATTAATGTCATAACATAAAAATCACAAGTAATAAATAATACATCGCTATGCGAAGGTAAAGTATGATTTTTTTTTTTGCCAAGGTTGCCTTGTAATAGGATTTAACATTTTTACTGGTTGTTTTTTTTTTCATTAAGTGTTAAAATATTTTATAGTTTAGAAATATTTATATTTCTATTGAATTATGTCAATTAACAGTATATTTACTGGTATACATAAAACTGAATTTTGTTTGGGCATAATAACACCAGAATACATTGATTTTTTATTCTCAAGGTTAGTAACCAACTTGCAGATTATCATATTACATACTAAACTTGATTGTTAAAGGAAATTTGCAACTGAAAAACGAAATGTGCATTTGGGTCTTTAGCAACAGGAATACAGAAAATAAAAATATTATGCAATCGCTCACAAGAACAAGCTTCCTCTCATTGCCATGGCAACATACAAAACATTCAGATACGTCAGCACATGGCTGTGTTAGGCCACAGATGAAAATCTTTGCTTTGGATGCGAGGGTCAGAATGGCCTCACCTGCGACCGATTCTAGTATCATGAAAATTTCTGAACACATTAAAAACTTTTCTCGCTCCCTTGAAACTTGTCATACGTCTACAACCATCTTCTTGTGAATATCCATAGTACCAACAATCTGGCAGAAAAAAACAAATAATAATAATAATAATAATAAACTTTATGTATAATTGATGAGATTGACATATAACTACCAACTCCCTCAAATCCATCTGCCTAACTGGTTATTAAACAGTATAATCTATTCAAGAAGTTTGTGATTAGTCATCAACCAGGTATAATATATTCAGGTAGTTTGTGATTGGTTATCAACCATGTATAATACATTCAGGTAGTTTATGATTGGTTATCAACAAGGTATAACACATTCAAGTAGGGTGTGATTGGTTATCAACCAGGTATAACACATTCAGGTATTTTGTTATTGGTTATCAACCAGGGATATTTGGTAAGTTGAACTTGCCTAAGTCGAATCAAAAATTCCACTGAGATATCGTTCGACTTAGATAAAATTCGACTTACAGATTGTTATAATGGAATACACAACAATTTGGCTCTGATGACAGATTATCAATTTCATGCAGTATCAACATTAAACGCTGTAAAATTCTCTCTAAAAGCACTTGCTTTGTCAATAATTGTGTGTGGCTCAAATAGTGTACATGAAATTTTAATTAATTGGAATGCGACTTACTCCACAAAATTCTTCGTATGAAATCTTTCCATCTCCATTCTTATCGGCATTGATTATTGTTTTATCCACAATCTGTTGAAGCTGCGTCTCTTTCAAGTTGTTCCCAACCATCATCTTCAAAACGGCAAAGAGTTCTCCGTTTGAAATAAACCCATCTTTGTCCATATCGTAAATTCTAAAGGCAACTGCAAAGAAGAAAATAAAAACAAAGCATTCCAATGTTACTTTCAAAAATTTCATTCTGATCTAGTACCGCCCTCTATAATCCAACTCTCAATACAAGGCTTAAGCTATATTCGTATTGAATACAGTATAATGTTGACAAAGATGAATGGTTTACTCTGCTGTATCATACCACTGTTGTACTTTAACACACAGTGGTTTTATGGAGATAATATTTACCTATTTATTTATTCAAATGTACGAGCACAACATTCTAATTGAAAAAAACATTAAATTATTATATTACTGCATTCAAATGTAAACTACTGTAGTTCAAATTCCAAATTTGTAACCGTGTAATAATAAGTAGAATTGCGTATCATAGAGGAAATTGTTCATAAAATACGAAACATTAATGCTTGAAAAAAACACTAGCCTAGAGATGTCATTGTTGTGCGCAATACATACTGTACAACTTGTTTCCACCTTTTGCACATTAATTGAAAAAAGAACAAGCAAACCATGCACTAATAAAAAAAATTAGAGCACGGTTGGGAATAGGAAAATAACATTGAGAGTTACAGTGATGACGTCACGAATGATTTATAAAATGTTCTATTATGCACAATATCTGACAGATCACAGTGGTCTTTTCTGCTCAGAAAAAATGCCCAGGTCATTCATCATGGGCACGATTCACTTAGTTAAACCATGGAGGTATAAAAATGGTTAAATTTAAACACACTGCATCATACGATGTTGACAAATCTATCACTCTATGAGCGCTTGACTACGCAGACCAAGTGGAATGTCATTCACAACAAAGCACATTATTTCACGTAATGAACCTTTATGGGAAAAAAAATGGAATAAATATAAAGTGAATATATAAATTTTGGCTTGGCATACACTTGGGCCGCATTAGCAGTGACACACGAGTACAAATTCATCCTCATTTAATAGTAAATGCTATTCACAACCGGTCATGCATTGTGCACATATTAAAATATACCCCTATCCTTATAGTGATCCCAGGGACTACACATACATAATGTGAAATGATGCAATTCTAAGTCGATTTAAAAGCTAATACGTAGTTGGCCATTTGCAAAAATGTGCTCAATATAATGGAAGCAAACAAATTAAATTGTATGATTGGAGAGTACATCAAGTTGGTACAGCACACAGAAATTTGTACTCAAACTCACTGGTACAAAATATATATAAATATCATTCAATTAGGTATGCACATTCTAAGAGCTCAGAAATATTCACTATTAATTTATTTCTGTTGACAACTATATGTGTTTTTAATTACTACAATTAATAATTAATTCAAACTAGGGTATATTTCACACATTTCATATTATTATAAGCCATTTGATTTCTAAATGACTCGTCTGAAACTAAACTATTTTCACATCCACACAATTATTCAACTGTATTTTGTGAAGTAATTAATTTGATATTAGTAAAAATAATTATTTGCTCCAAATATTTTATTGACTTCTTTAGATAAGGAATTCCTGAAGTAAGACTCCACAGGGTAATAATATGTCCCAATGTACAAACGACTCTACCATGTGTATGGAATTTATCTTAAAGTACCATATAGATACTGTACTTCCATATTCACATCCCTTTATAAGAAAATGTCCCAGTTTCACAGGGATACATACACATTATTGATACTTCCAAGAATATGAAAGTTCTCCTGGGAATGTACACTATCCCATCTAAAGACAATACTGACAGACACTCCCTTGTGTTATAGACATTTCTGCACTCATCTGTAAAAGTTCACTACGACACAGCTCATGTTAATAAAACATTAGTAGAAAGGGCTGCCTGTCTTCTTACTGTTTATAGTTCAGACTAACATGACATTTCCAATACACTGAAATTTCACCATACCCTAAGGTATATAATTATATATCAACAAATTGTGGATATTCCATGGGTATGGCATTTGCCAATGAGTATTCCATAGAATATAGAAATTCTATAGATGATGGACATGCTGCGGCATTTACACTGTACACATACTGTAACTATTTGCATATTCTCCTACTAATCTGTTACGATGTGCAAAGGGTATTAAGTTTCAATCTCCATTCCATCATATTGGTCTACTTATTTTGTTGGTTATTAGATATTCTGTGTCTTAAAGCATACTTACATTTCAACTTTGATTCTTTATCACCTTTGACACTGAACTGAGACACACCTTGGATAAACTCTAAAAAAAAACAGAATGAACATTATTAAGTCATGTGATTAATTATATATTCAAATAGTTCTACATAATTCTCTATATAGCAATATATTTTTCATCCAGTTTACATGGTGGAATCAATAATTTTGCAGACTCATTGGGCTGTATGCATACAGGTATGGGCAGTAACACTTGTAGCTGTCGTAAAAGAGCCACTGACAAGAGTCAGTAGTATCCAACGGAAGTATCAGGGTAAAACCTCCACTGCCAAAAAAAAAAAACAGAGTTCTTTAAGTGCACACCAGTCAGTTGTATTCAGATATTAATTACTTTGAACAAGTCAAGTAAGTAAAATAATCCCCCATAGCATATTATTAAGCCTATAATTGTTATACATGCCTGAAAATCTTACAATGTATTTTGAAATGACATTTAATAATTACATAAATCACTATCATTACTAAATTTTGTTCAGTGTACAACATCTTGCAATGCATTCTAGGAAAATAATCACGATGATCATATTGGTATTCATTACAAGAGAATGCTCATAACATGTTAACACCTCCGATTATACATTCAACATTTCCAGAATAAAATAGTCCAGACTTTAAGGCTGCCAGTCTAAGTGATCTTTTAAGAGGAAACGACTTAAAAAAGACTAGCCTATCAGGTGATTAACATCTTCATGTAAGAGAAACCAAACTAACTTATTGCTTCACTGTGTTTGCAATGCTAATAATATGTTCACTTTAAATCCAATATACTCAGCTATAATATTTATTGCAAATACACGGTATGTTTCATAATAATTAATTCAAATATATTCATGAAAAATTGTAAAATTCAATTCAAATTTCAACAAATAATTTACAATTCATAAATAATATCATACAAAATTTTAAAATATATTCACTATATTACAATTTGCAGTTAGATTAATTTATATTTCACTTTATAAACATTTCATTTAATGATATATTTCACTTATTTTATTTTAGTTTTAATATGTGACATATACAAATATATGAAATTCAATTTAATATATATATATATAAATAATTTTTTCAAATATTATAATGTGTTATTAAATTCATAAATCACTAAATTACTTAAATCTTTTCCTTTACTTTCTAATGATATAATCAAATATATTCTATCTGCATAATGCGATGTTAATTCAATTACCAATTCATTCAGAATTACAGTCAAAAAATGTTTTCTTTTTTCAAATATTCAAACAAGAATCTAAATTTTTTACTTTGCATATTGGTTATGAAACCAGACTATATCTTGAGGACGTGGGTTTGATTCCCACCTGAAAGATTGTATTCAGGATAGGCTAAAGATGCATCAATATTTTATCAGTTCTCCAAATGCAGATTGTAATCTTGAGGGTACAGTACATTGATATTATAAATCACAAATCAACTTTTAAATGCCAAGGCAAGTTAGTGTTACATGCTGGCCTTAATACTGTATAAAATCGAGTCTGTCTGCCTATATGTTTATGCTCGAGCACGGCCACAGTTGTTTACTTACAATATTTGTCGATATATCTTGACGATTGGCAAAGTATTACTGAATTTTAATTGGAAACAGAAATTTGAAGAATGAAAACAAAGAATAATGAATATGATAAAATGATACATCAAATGAAATTGCTTTATATAAAATTACATAAATAAGATATATGTTGAAGCTTGCGGTACACCACGTAAGTAGTTCTGAAAAGAACTGTTGTTGTTGAGAAAGTCTCGACGTTTCGATTGAGATGCTTCTATCATCTTCAGGAGAATAATATCTGCAGACACTCCAAACAGGGAAATACTTATATGTTTGGGTAGAGAGGCTGGATGGTGGTAAACTGACCAATGGGTGAAAGGCTAAAATATAAGCTGGATGGTGATTGGATGGATAAACTGACCAATGAGAAGACTGCTAGTGAGAGGCTAAAACAAAAGCCATTGTTCACGAAAACAAAACAAAAGGGGTGGGAACGCCCAAACAAAGGCACGGTTCCAGGGCGGGAAAGTGGGTGGGAACGACCAAAAACAAAGGCATAGTTCCAGAAGGCGGGAAATGGTGGGGCTTCGCTAGGTCCGAATAAACATGGACAGCCAAATATCGCTAATGAAAAATCCGATGTCTTGATGTACAGTATTGTGTTTGTGATATATATATATATTATTTCTTCACCATGCAAACCTTTAAGCAATAGATAAATAAGAATAACTAAGGTACTGTACAGTATAATTACGTTTAAACTTGCCTAAGTCGACTTTGCTAACTCAAATAATTTCAAAAGTCAATCTTATTTTATATGCCAAGTTGTTGTGTTATCCATCAATTAACGATCTGTAAGTTGAACAAGTTTTCAATGCCATTTTGGATTCGACATAGGCAAGTTAAACTGTATTTACTTAATACAAATGCTTTTTTATTCATTTAATACAATACTATGTAATAATTTCACTTAAATTGTTTGTAATATTCAATTAATACTATACTTCTACAGTACTATACAATAATTTCATTTAAATTGTTTGTAATATTTTGTCCCATCTTTCAACTCTTCTTTTGTCTCCTTTCCTTTGTAAACTTTTTTGGGCTTTGTCCCTTCACTTGTCATTTATTTTAAGAATTACTCTTTAAGAATCCTAAGGAGTTTTCCAAATGTTTTCCTTTTATCAATTGTTGTAATGCTTTTTATATGTGATTTTAGAATAATATTAGAATACATTGACCTTCTTCACATACTTTCTCCACATAATGTACAAAGATGAAAAAAATGGATCAATATGACTATAGTATGAACAAAATATGGATATAATACTATGCAGCGATAATGCTTTACAATAATAATTACATTATAAATGGTTGATTGCTTTGTGCTGCTCACCTTTTGATAACCTCCTTTATATTACATTCATCCTTGTTAATGAATAAATTTGAGTAGTGAAATAGAGTATAAATTTGCTTTTATAGTTTTCAGTACGATATATGATTAAAAGATACGACTGTCTGTATTTTTGGAAGTGTGACGACACAAAATAAAATATAATTACTAAATTATTACCTTGCAATTGTAAATTTGGATTGAGAAAATATTTCCCTCACTGATACTGAAGAAGCACATAATATTGTTTTATATAGTATTTCCTTGCATGACCTATGGGTGGGTATTTAGGATTGTCAGAGTCAATGTTTGCCATTCAGCAAAATATTGTTTGCATGATTGATGTCTCATTTGAAATTAATAACATATTTGATCCTAGATTAATTAAATTTTTAATGTCTTATCAACTTCTTTCACATTGCAAAACAAGAGCCTTTTTATACATTGTTTGGCGAACACTAATAGCGAACACTACAACAACAGTGTCAAGTCAAGAAATCAATATATTATTTTGATTTTTTATTCCTTCCTCCTCTAACAATCATAAAAAAGTAAGTTTGCAAAACAAGGTATTAAACAAGTCTCGTCTTATGTAAGGCCCAATAATAAAAAAATTATTAGTTTATCCCCCTCGCGCGCATGTCTTCTGGTATTGGTTTTATATTTATTTATTTATTTTTTAACATTTTTTTAGTAAATAGTGGATGTTGTTTGTATTATATTATTATATTGAATATCAATGCACCAGCAAGGGTGATATTTGCCTTCAGCAAAATAAAAAGCCTCCCTCCCTCATCACTTTTCCAGCCTAAATATGGCGATAACCTAATAATTTTTTTTATAAGGCCTAATAAATGTTGGAAAAACATTAAAAATTAAATTAAGACAATGAATTCTTCATTTAGGATCAATTTAGGATCAATTTCAAATGACACATCAATCAATCAATTAATTAAACAAACACTAATGAGTTTTAAAGATGCTGCATACACACTCACGATATTAAACAGAACTGGTGCAAGTTAAATTCCAGAGGAAAACAATACATTCTGAAAATTCTATTATACAAACAAGCAATAATTTCTATGAACAACAGACTACAGGGTCAAGGCGAAATGTTATCCTAAATGCTAGCATTATAAAACGATTTCAACTGGAAACCCTGTAGTGCTAGGCCTGAAAACCATAATCCATGTGGCTATTCCAGCCCTATTCTGATATATAACTGCAGTGCTTGCAAAACTTTTTGAGTGTGACACTCTCTTCAGGGACTAACTGCATGTGCAAGAATTAAGTAATGGGGGACCTTAGCCTAAATATATAGGATAACTTTCCCCACAGAAAAACAACTTGGTTGATCTAACAATTATCCTATTGTATTGATATTATATTATTTGTTTAATTACAACAAAGAATATTGATGAACTTGGTTTGTTTTAAATGCGTCTTACCTGACTGGGTTTCTTGCTATAGGATTAAAATAATAAATATAAATATAAAAATTACCTTTAAAATCCACTTCTCCGTTTCCATCCTCGTCGAATATGTCGATAACCCTTTGAACAAGGGGGTTCTGTTGCAGTTCTGGTAGTGACATGAACTCATCTATGCTCAGGGATCCTGAGTTATCAAGGTCCAATTTCTTGAATCTTTTCCCTAACCGTTTGATTTCATCTGCATCAACTGTAAATAAAAGCAAAAAACCTCTGGTTAAATCGCATTATTTTTTAAACATTTATTACATTTGGTATGAGGCTTGCGGTACTCTGATCACTTGGTTAGATGAATCTGTTTAATGATCAATCGAGGTTTATATGAAGTTTGCAGAGTAGGTTCTCAAGTTCTATCTACACTATAAACTGTAAACTATCAAATTTCCTGTGACAATTGGATCTGCTTTGTCCATATGGAAATATATCAATCATAATAAATACGGAAAATCACAGGGTTTTATAACTTAAAACCTAAAAAAAACCCTTAAATCCTAAAAGCTTAGGGACTAAAGTAGTGTTCCTTGTAGTCATGAGAAAAAACAAGCTTGTTTCGACAGGATTTGGACCCAGAGCCTGAGATTCGAAGGCAAGCATCGATAAGCTACAGTCCTAGTCTTTTTACAATGAATATTATGACTGACTTCATTTATTATTGTTGAGTATACTTACAATTGGAGCACATCTCCATCGGTAATGACCCTTCATTCCCCTGTGAAAATAAACAGTGATTAAATAAATAATGTGCAAAAATGGGGAATTTAATAAATCTCATTTTATGATAATTTTATTTTAATTAAATTTAAAAAGAAAAAATATTCTGATGTACGTACTTGCTCTCTGGGTAAAAATGTTGAATATGCATTATAGAAGACTTTTTATTAACTACTTTTTGAATTATTGTTGATGACAACAAATTTAGATTGTGAATATTAATCTCTGCTAAACGCTGAATTCTGTTTCTGTTGTACTGATCAGTACATGCTTAAATCGCAAAGCAAATGCATGAGGGAATAATAAATGTATGCAAATTGTTTTGGCTATGTTGATGATGTGACTAACATACAAAATAAATACCACCACTATTAAAAAAACTAAATAGATTCTTGTGATTTGGTTGGTGGATTTATTTCATTTTATTTTTATTTTATTCAATTTCCAGGTAAACCAATTACACAAGATGAAAGCTCTAGCGGAAATATAAACAGTACCCTGGGGACTGCCAAGAGTGTGAAACACTATCAGAGTGGCTCTCCAATACTGTACTTAATCAAACTAAGACACAATACAATAATAAAATACAAATTTAAATTTAAAATAATTTATGTTAAAATATTAACAAAGTTAAAAATGACAAATTACAAGATTTTAAAATTTGATATAAATAATTATTATTAAAAGCAATTAATTACTCAATTCAAATTGCACGAATAGAAGAATGAAGTGCTGTGCTAAAACTCTGTCTTTAGTTAAAATTAAGTCTCTGACTTCAGTTGATTTAACATTGACATGCGACATTGGGTATTTATTGGCAAAATAAATATATTTTGATTTGCATTACTACTGTTCATAAATATTTACTTCAATTTCTATGCAATTTTGTTTTATTCATTTTTTCCTATTGCACAATGAATGGCACCTTTTTTTTTTTAAAGGTCCCAGACCCTCAAATCCTGTCTATGAAATGGCACTGCGCTAAGAAAGGTATCCCAATTAATAATAATATAATGGTCGACTTATAGAGTGAATTTCATAGAGACCTCTACGCGATTAACATAAATAAGAATGCAAATTATAATGATACTTAACTAATCCTACTCCTTAAACTAAGCATGGTTTGGCCGTTGGCTCAGAGGAGTTCATCCACCCTTTGTTCAGCTATTTTTCTTAATGCTGCTGAATGACCATTCACCCTCCCATCCAAAAGCCGCTAAGGTCGTAGATGGGGCTGCCAGTTAGTTGCCGGCGATTTGAGTGGATGCATTTTAACGTCATACCCAGGACATCTTAACTACAACTAACACTAATCTTAACTACCAAAATGTAACTTAAACTTAAAACTGAGGGTAAAGCTATCTCCCACCGGACACCATCCCGGTATTTCCAAATACAGGTTTCAATTCAATTCTTTATTCAATTCAATTCTTTATTCCACAAATGTCACTATAAAACATACTTTTTACATATCAATTTTTTTCAAAATATGTGGAAAAAGGTATTCCACCACAAGCATTGCTCTACATGTGGGACCCTTTAAAGCTAAACTAAAAATAAAATAAAAATTTGGGGTTATTATGTATTAAAGAGAAATGTTTTCAAACTATACTTAAATAATTCCACAGAACTGGCGTCTTTTTTTGATTCAGGTAAGTTGTTCCATAATTGTGAAGAGGCAACTGAAAATGAACAGCCACCATATGTCTGTGTACGACATTTCTGTTCTAAAAGGAGGTTCTTCGATGCGTTTTGGGTATGCTGGTATCAGATCCATTATATTGCTGTGTATTATGAAGTCCGGTCTTGAATATGACTAAAAGTATTTTCAAAAAACAACTCGTTTGGAAATTTCCAACCAATGAAGGTTTCTAAGGACAGGTGAGATATGTTCATTCTCCTTTGCTTTAGTAATGATTCTTGCTGCGCAATTTTGTATTCTTTGTAGTTTAGTATTAGTTCACTCTTAACTATGCAACACTCTCTGTCTACCTTTATTTTTTATACATGTCACATGAAAACTTTGACAAGAAACTATTTTAGGTTTACCGTAAATCCAGGTTCCGGAGGAAACAATTTTTTTTTATGTTGTGCAACTGATTTTTTTTATGACACAAAAAGCATATTTGACAAAAAAAACTCAGGAACGAGATACAGATTTACCCAAATTTAAGGAAAGTTGTGCACAACATTGGATGTAGTAATAATAATAATAATTTATATAGCGCATATTGCGCAGTGCCTCTAGCCTATGCGCTTTAAAATTAAATTTGATATTAAATACTTCTTACTATATACTGTATAAGCCCATTACAACAGTATATACTATATTGGGAATAATGACATCCCATCTGTTAAATCATACAAGCATCTCGGTGTAATGCTTAGCTCTGATCTTTCTTGGAGCAAGCACGTTGATTATGTTATTTCTCGGGCCTCAAAGACTCTTGGACTTATTGCAAGAATTTCGGGTGACCCTAAGGGCAATCTTGCATATCGCAATCTGTATTTTGCTCTTTGCCGTCCCATAATTGAATAATGTACGCAGTGCCTGCTTGGCTAACTTATAAAAAATGTCATATTTCAAGCCTTGAAAAAATCTGTCATTACACTAGAGCGTACTTTGGCGGGCCGTGGAACGAACGACCTTCGACCACGAACATTTCATGATTCTTCATTTATCTTTTATCATTAATTGTCTCTACATGAAAAATTGTGTTGATGTTACTAATATTCAAGTTAATTGCCGTCAGGTTACAACACTTAAGTTTATTGAAAATTTCGCTCGTACCGATGCTTACAAATTTTCACAAATATTCATTTTAGTAAACTTTTTAATTCCCTCCCTGATGAAGTTAGATGCTCCTTGCTTTTCTTGAGCAACTATTTCATTAAACTTGCAAAAATATTTCTCAACGAAAATGTTGAGATTCATTAATTCCGTATGTGCCTGTTTGATCATGATTTTGCATCGTGGTCACTTGATAATTATGAGATCCCTTGCAATAATATTTTATATTAAAATATTTTAATATTATATTTTTCTAAATGATATATATTATATCTTTTGTGTTGTTTTCTGTGTGTTGAGTGCTGATTGGAGAGCCAGATGATAGTGGCACTTTTGTGTACTTTTGCTTATCCTGGGTTGGCAGCACTCTTTGTTTTGGTTTCTGTTTTTATTGTCTTTTAATTGTAATTTTGATTGTAATTTTAACCAGAAATAAATTTGAATTTGAATTTACAGTTGTCAACCAAAACAAAATCTAATTTTTTAAATACAGTACTCACTGTAATAATCAAACTCATGAAAATATTCTTCCCATTGCACTCATAAACATTCATTACAGATCTCCCTCCAATGAGAGACCACCTCCAATTAAATACAACTTTCTTGTGGTCCTGATTAAATGTCGATGTTTTATCATTAGATGGTCCCTCCAATTAAAGACTCCCTCTAATTAGAGACCAAAGAGCAAGGTTTTTGTGGACCTAACTGAAAATTTTCCCTCTAATTAAAGACCACTTTAAAATAAGTACTAATTGTAATGCATTTTTTATAATAAACGTTTACATCTCTACATACATCAGAATACCATGCATTTACAGTACACTCTACTAAGATGATATTTTGTGTATACTTGCTCCATTTTAAATGTACAGAAGTGCTCTATTCTGTTGATCATTAATCCTACTTCCATTTTATTTTTTCAATCCTCTGCTAGAAACTTTCTAGTTTTTATCATCTTTTATTTTGTACATCCACATATCTTAATCTTGGTCTTAGTCCTACGAGTGATTCTCTGTCTCCACTGAAGATAAAGTACATGGCATTTCCATCCCGTATACTGCTCCTCTCTTACTGGCTTCCCAGAGACGACAGCTCTACCTCCGTTTGAACATTGCTTTAGAAACAAGCTGATATATTTACCCCTGTTTGGGGGGGTAACAGCCCCCCTTGTCGGGGAAGAGCTGGTGCACCACTGCAACCCATTCAATTGCAATTATACAACACCTCACACATAAGGTAGCACTGCTTGCACTAAATAGTTTTAAATCCCTAAAATTTTGACAGCTAAGTAAGGCATGCTTGAATTGTAATTTCAGCGCTCAAGATTTTATTTTGGACAGGAGGTCCAAGCGGGTTATCCAGAAGTCCCCAACGGGGGTCCTTTGCCACTGGACCCTTCTAGCGCCGCTGCTGCACTAGCGTTTTCAATGTTGCCTGGCTCCGTTCTCAGTAACAATTCCTCACTTTCTGCAGGAATCCACGAAGTCATATCCTTGTACACATGGTATCCTCTCACAAAAGTTTCAATAATTTGAAATGAATTTTCTTCCAGATTCTATTTTGACAGTACAGTAAAAGACAAGATGTTTGGTGGTTTCATTTCAGCAGAAGATAACCGGATTTGTTTACAACAGCTCATGCTCGAGTAGCTCTGAACCCTACTTATGGTTAATGAGTTAATAAGTCTTGTCTGAGACAACTTGTATAGTTGTCTCAGGTCTTGTTGAAGTATAGCATTTGTTTGGTAGATTTTTTTTTTATATAATTAAAAGTCAATGAACCTTTAAAACAGTTGTTCATTTGATTTAATTTTTCATGTGAAATTCATTCGAAAACAGTTTGACCAAAACAATTAATCTTATATTTATGTGTTGATTTCGCCTAGCTAGGCCGGATTATGACCGGTTGAGCCGCCGACAAGTTAAGCCGCCGGTCATTTCTATGTAACGCCAAGCGCGTCTCTCAGTGAATGTAGTGCGTTAATTGCGGCGTATTTCAATTAACTTATTCGTTCTTGGTACTGTACTGTTGTTCGGGATGTATTTCAGTTTATTTACTCAATTATTTCAATTTATTTAATACTCGGTTTTTGCACTGATTTATTAAATATTTTTGGGATGTATTTCAATTTATTTACTTGTTCTTTCTATCGTTTTAATTTA